CCAATGTCGTAAAGAACAAGCATTCAAAGTAGCATCCCGGACAACGAAAGGCATATAAAGCCAGGTATCCTCAAGGACATGTCCACCAACAGTGAGAAACATCTGAGTGGGTTTAACAGAAGTACATAAAGTCATACTTGCATGTTCTCCTTGTTTGTTAATAATTTTATTTCCATCAAATAGCTCATGAACTACTGATGCCATGATTTCTATTCTTGTAGAATTGCTGTTTATTTTCAATGCATCTTTCATAGGTGATAATTCCTTTTTATTGTCAGATACTAGTAATAAGAAATAATGTGCAATCCATTACAGGCAAATGTGATTCCTTTATATTTGCCAGTATTAAAATTTAAATCATACTTATTTCAAGGTATCACAAATAAACTGACCAAACTTGTGTGTTCATTTCATTTAGTCGCAACCATTTCATTTCACCCAGTTACATTCCTGCAACACAACTGTGTGTTTAGTTCCTCTAAATTATGTTATTGTAAGATACCTGTGACTAATAAAATAGCTGTGCTGGTAGGGCGTCCAAGTCTTACCAAAATGGGACAAGTGTCATTTACGTTTGGGACAGCTCTTTAACACATCTGATTACTGTGCTTCAGACATTCTTCAGATGTGTCCCATATATGTTTCAGATACTGTATCTACTAGTTTATAACTAGTATAATTTCGGACAGTCTTGTTAAAAATGTTACTCCGTAAGAGTGCAAAATGTCTCAGACATGTTTTGAACATTTCTTTTCATAGAAACATAAATGGCATAAATTTCAATGAATACACATTGGTAAGGGAGTCCCCTATGCATGCATGTCAGTGCTAAAACTTGAAAGAAAAAAAAGCTAGTGTAACCCATAGGATCTGGAACCATTTTCGAGATACTATACAATATAACATGGTAAAAATAGCTAGCACCTTTAAACATGGCACACATGTTATTTTTGAGTCACAATATTGTGTTTTGTATGTTAAGTATATAAATACAAGAGCGAAATTGCTAGTACTTTGAAACTTAGCTACATATTTTCCATGTTACTCTAAAAACTTATGTTCACTACATCTTGGTGCATTCGTAACAGTAAGGGGGTGGTCCACTGAAATCATGAAAACATTTAGCAAATAGCTAAAAACATGGAGTCCATTTTTTACTAAGTAAACATGATGGGATATCTTTATTATATATTACTAGCTTAAACAAATCTCACATTGTTGATGCAAAAAATTCACACACAGGTAAATTTGTGTTTGAATAGTAATAGAATATCCTGCTTACTCCTGCTACAACAAAGTACAAATAATTAGAATAAACAGCACTAACTAATATCATACATTAACATCTTCAGTTTTCACATTAGAAGAATAATTTGTCTCATACAGCAGTTGTTGGTCAATGAATCGCTGAAAACCAAATCTTGACAAATCAATTGTCTTGTAGCTCTGTTCAAGTAACAGTTCACTCATAGCTCGGCCTATGGCTGGTGCCTGTTGAATTCCATGCCCAGAAAATCCATTTGCAAAGAAAAAATTTGAAATGATGGGATGGACCCCGATGATAGCATTTTGATCAACAGTGTTGTAGTCATAGAAACCAGCCCATGCACTTTTAATCTGCGAAGAGAATAGACAGTCTATTAATATACTAGTCACCTACAATTAAAGCTATTTCTTTGGCTCGGCTAGAGTGCAACATAAATCATTATCATATTGACTCAGATAG